CCTTGACCATAGTGATTACTTGGGGTATATGTCTACCTAGCACGCGAGCGATGGGCAGGACGGTGGAGTCGTGGACTACGCTCTTGTCCTGTTACCTGAACGTGCCAAGGCTAGCTACAGGTTATTGCTTGCTTGCGGCGAGCAAAAGTCGTCGTGTACGTAGTCCATCGTGTCCTTCTGGTTTTACATCGATCGGTTTCCCCGATGACGCACCGTACGTGGTTCCGTCGGCGGCGACGACATTCAGTCATTCCCATTCAGTAGTATTACTCCTTGGTTTGGCAGAGGCAGGCACGGATCATCGCATGCTCTGCTCTCACTGTTCACAACCAACAACACCTTACGCCCATCTGTTTGGTTCTCTCTTGGAATTCTCAATTCTCCATGCCAAGAAATAAGCCAGGTAGGTGTGGCAAGAACCTACTATGAGCCCTGCTAAAAAACAGCACCGGCGTTGAACTTGTAGCTCCTTGAGCCGTGAGACCCTGACAGTAATGTCTCAGCAGCCGTGCTACTACCTGACAAGCAAGGAAGAACAAAGAAAAACACAGTCAAAGAGAATGCCTTGAGACTTGAGACAATCTGCTGTCCTGCAGGTTAGACTAGCCACAGGTACCTCAACTACAATTTTCTTTTTTAAAAAATCACCTTTATTCAACTTTTTTTAAATACCCTTCCAAAAACAAAGTGATTTCAAGAACGTTGAGACCTTTCCTTCCAAGAACTTCTCAAAAACTCCTGCGACCTATTCTCAGAAGAAGAAAAAAACACTCCTGCGACCTTTCCTTCCAACAAGAAGATCGAATCATTTGGATGCGGCCCACTGCAAATAGGCCCACATGTTCTTTCAGACGCAGCGCACGTCAGTACGCCACTCCAGTCCAGCCCAAGCGGGCGGCGTGCGTTTCTGCCACCAAAACCACGCGATGCCGGCCCACCGTCAACCCACCCGCGGCCATTCGGGTCCAACATGACGCGGACCCACAAGTCGGTATCGGCGTCCGGCCGGAGAAACCGTGCGGGGGGAGCTTGTGTTGTGGGCGGCCAGCCAGCAATCATTCTCGCCCGGCCTGTTTGCGCCCTGCTTCATGCCGCCGAGGGCGAGCAGCGAGCTGACCAATAGACGCCAATGGGATCAAGCCGTAGCTCGAGTGGTAAACGCTGCAGTGGTGCAGCGGCCGGTCGTGGGTTCGAGCTCTGCTCGACTCACGATCCCCATCGAAGTTTTTTTTTTCATATTTAACAGGTGCAGCCGGGACCGAGCCTCAGCTCGGATGGTGAGCCCTCCCGGTGTGGAAGCCACCGGTCCTGCATAAAGATGGCAACAGGGATTCGATAACCGATGGGTATTTGATCCATTACGGGATGGGATGGAATCATATCTTTATCTGTGGGTATCTAAATGGGAAAGAATCCATACCCGACGGGTATAGCGGGTACGGGAACGTTCCCTGTTTACCCGTCCCCGTTACCCGTTGGGGAACCCGACTATTTGAGCTGTCTTGCGAGTATTAGACCCAAAGAAACTCAACATATGTATTTTGGTCAAAATCTGAACAGTCATATATATAGTTTGTGTGTTCTAGGAACCTTCGTTCAATTTTTCCTCACCATCTCCGCCAGCAGCACAAGCACGCCTGTCTCACGAGCACTCGTGCCTCTCGCTTCCTCAGTTCGGTCTCTTTGCCACCTTTGCTCGTCCTCTTTGTAACCTCACTTCTTCTCCTCGCCATCTCCGAGACTCCGACACTTATACCCGGGTGAAGAAGAAACATCTCCGATTGCAAAACTGCGACCCCAAGTGTCCTTGTTTATCGGGTATATCTGTTACCCGACCGATACCCGACGGGTATGGGGATGGGCAAGAATCTATGCCTGAGACAGTTAATGGGAATGGGGACGGGATGAATTCTCCGTAGCGGGGAAGAGAACGTTCCGGCGATACCCGACGGGTATATCCCCGTTGCCATCCTTAGTCCTGCGTTCGAGTCCTGCTCGGCTAAGTGATTTCCCAGCGTGGGATTTATTTTCAAAAAAATAATTTTGCAGGTTCTGGACACTCGCGTGACGCTACAATGGGACTACGACGTGACCGTTGTCTACGAGGCTCGTGTGGCTTCGATGATTTTCAGAATGACGCTTGAGGTATATAGGTTGTAGCTTCTAAGGGTGTGCGTGTGTGGTGGTGTGAGTGTGTTGTGTTGAGTACAGATACTATAACTTGTACACTAGGAGTCCAGGCTAAAAAAACAGGTGAGTCTCTCTCGCATGGAGCTATAAAGGAACAGCGACGCGTCCGTCGCCTACGGAGCCTTGGATGGTTTCGGTGATCTCCTCAAGGACACGATCTTGGAATCTAGGTATAGTTGTAGGGTCTGTTTGTGTACATGTGGTGTGAGTGATGTGTGTGTGAGTGTGTATGGTGTTGGTGTGTGTCTGTTCATGATAAGATACTGCAGGCGGCGCGTCCGTTGCCTACGGAGCCTTGGATGGTTTCGGTGATCTCCTTAAGGACACGATCTTGAAATCTAGGTATAGTTGTAGGGTCTGTTTGTGTACATGTGGTGTGAGTAAGGTGTGTGTGAGTGTGTATGGTATTGGTGTATGTCTGTTCATAAACAGATACTGCAGTTGTACCTCGATGAGAGGTGAAAAAAATAGACACCCCCATGTGATCCACGCTGTCCTCCTGGGCCCACCCGTCCCCACATGGGCCACACCACACTCGATAGTCGATAAGCTTCCCGACGAACCTTGCGAGCGCTGTGGCTGTGGCTGTGGGTTCCATCCATCCAATCCAATTTCGGATTTGTTCGAGGTCATTTTCACAAAACGGGCACGCATTGGCACAGCCATTTCAGATCTGTCGCTACGTGGACTGCATCGGACGGCAATACAAAGTTTTCTCCTTTGGTCTTTTGTCGCTGTGTGTGTGTGTGTGTTTTGGATTCCTGCTATTTTGTCGCTGTTGGAGGGCAGGGTCGAAGGACTCATGGTTGAGGATAGCCGGTCCGAGGATCTGGCGGCCGTTTGGATTGCATTGTCATTGGATTACAGAAATTACGTAGCCGTTGCTGCCCCTGTAATTTCTTTGCACCTGAATTTTCAATAAGGCTATTGTTCTTGAGACTTTTCCCTGTGTGTCATTATAAAAGATCGCAATTCACAGTATCACTCTAAATTCAATGATCTTGACGTCACTTTTTCAACTTTTTTTTCATCCATGCCATTTCCTCGCTTTGGCCTTTAACGCCAAGAAATCTGCAGATGTAAAAAGATTTGTAATTTCATTAAGTCTAAATATGTTATTAAATTTTTTTGAGCATCTTAACGACTTCAAATGAAAAAACTCAAAACTAGAAAATTATAGATCTCGTCAAGATCTATAATTTTTATATAAAATTTATTTTCATTTAATTCCGCAAAAAAATAATGATTTTTCTAAGATATATTAATCATATCAAATCATATTTTTTTTACGGAATTAAATGAAAATATATTTTATATGAAAATTATAGATCTCGACGAGATCTACAACTTTCTAGTTTTGAGTTTTTTCATTTGAAGTCGTTAAGATGCTCAAAAAAATTAATAACACATTTAGACTTAAGGGTATTTTCGTCTTTTCACACCTGCAGTTTGACGGCGTTATAGCCCAAACTGACGGAAGTGGCATGGAGGACACGAAAAAGTTGAAATAGTGACGCTGAAGACCACTGAATTTTTCAGAGGCACACAAAAAAATTATGATCTTTTATAATAGCACACTGGGAAAAGTCTCATTGTTCTTGGTCGGATAGCAAGGCTCTAGCCTCTAGTTGCATACTCCCTCAAATGTCGTATGCGTACATGTTGCAACTGTGATTCAAAGAAAAAGGTCTGTCATAAAGTAAACACTTCTAGCTTTGATGATTTGTTTCAAAAAAAATCAATCATTTTCACAACTTTCACAAAATATGAACTATATATTATGAAAGTATTTACCATAGTGAATCCAAAAACATAAACCTCATTTTGTTAGCCGGTTCATGTTTTAAGATTTTTAATAGTTAAAGATAGAGAAGGTATTCGCTGCAATAGCTCTTCATCCGTTGCTAAGTACCGTAGTTTGAACCGAAAAGGTTGCAGTTGCAGCCGCTTTAATGTTCAGCTAACATGCCTCTACTAGAAATGTTTGGCTTAGAGCAAAAGTAATACATATATAAGACAGATGGAGTATATAAGAATATAAAACAAAAATAGTTTTGCCATATGCAGACTTGTGCCTAGTCTTTTTTTTAACGGCTATAATTCAAGTGAGATCTACTGGGTCTTTGCCTTTGAACCATAATGAACTTGTCGGGTATCGTTATTAGTTAGCGTCCACGCTGACTCCTCCGATGTCGAAGACCAATACTAGGGTACCCGAAGAGGAGGAGCTAATAACCATCAACATTGATTCATCCGAGCAGTCAAGGCGTGACTACAGCTCCAACCGACCCCAGTGCGCAAGCTCACGCCTCCCCGCCTTTGGGGAGGACTCACTCGTCTCGACCTCGAGGCCACGGGCTGCCTCTTGCCCAGACCCTTAGGTCTACACTTCGCCTCGCCCAGCCTCTGGGGAAGGACTCCGCCTCGCCCGACTCCGAGGCCGGGGGCTCCGCCTCGCCCGGCCTCTGGGGGAGGACTCTGTCTCGCCCGACCCCGAGGCCGTAGGCTCTGCCTCGCCCGACGGAGACCCATACCGTCGCCAACCACTCCAGGTCTTAGCGAATGGGCCTGGGTCAAAGCTCTGACACCAGTGAGGTGACCGGCACGCCCCGAGATAACCCGTGGCCGTGCCATTAACTCCTACCAAGTGCATTTCTGCTTATGTCTTGAGTTTTCTGGGAAGCCCCTTTCTTTCACCAAGCCATGCAAATTAGTGTGAGCATGCTGTAAAAATAAGTAACTACGATTATGTTTTCTTTTCTCTCGTTTTAGACTAGAATTATGATTTTTGAGAACATTTTCCTTGTGGCATGCAGCCTTTGCTCAAAGAATCGGCAAATACCATACCGCCTACAGCAAATGGACACAGCACTGACTGTATCCAGCAACAAGTTGTTGCCTGTGAAGAAACGGTCGTTCTACTAGGCAACAACGACCATTTGATGTGTGCCAAGCCTGCTGATTCAGGCCTCACATCACAAGAAGGTTCAGACAGCAACGCGGCATCAGACACTCAACAATCGCCCTCGCCAACAGACGAAGGAGAAGAAGAAGCTCCGAACCAGAACGGCGCCGGAAAGGATAAGCAGAAAGAACCGGTTTCAGCGGGCTGTTCGTCGCGCCAGCTCTTCCCTCCTGGCAGGATCATCCACATGGTTGCGCTGCCCCCGCCGCCGGACCCAAACTCCGGCGACGGCACGGGCAGCGATGAGGTCATTGGGATATACGAGACGCCGAGGGATTTGTACGGGAAGATACGGCTCGCGCCCAACATGATTAAAGAACATCACATGCCTAGCTATATAAGTACGATGGAATCGTTGTTGGAACAGCTTGAGAAGGACGATGATGATACCAGTGTATGTACCGCATCAAATGACCTGTGAATTATTGTAGAGAACTCGGTTGTGATTAATCCAATTCTTTCTCATCATCTTATTTTCTCTCACTTTTTTTCGTTGACCGAGTGACATGGACGTCGCCTGTCCGTACGCGCGTCTCCGGCTCGTTCTCGCCACGCTGGCACGCATGCCGAGCTTGCGAATTCCCTCTCGGCCTCACGCTACAAGAGAGCACCTCCAGGCTTCCATGAAACAAATTCAGGCGTCCGTCCGTCCCCTTCCGCTGCAACCCGCAAGCCTGCTGCATCTCTCGCAAGGATCGACATGGCCGCCTCTGGTGGTGGTGGTGGTGGTGCTGCTCTCCGCGGCCTCGTCGTCGTCCTCGCCGTCGTCTCCGTCTCCATGTGGGGTGCGGAGGCCACGATCAACGTCAAGGAGACGTGCTCGTTCACGGCGCACCCGGACCTGTGCGAGAAGGACATGACCAAGCTGCTGGGCCTGGGAGGCGCGCCCGCGCCGGCGCCGGCAGCGACGACGTCGGCCTGAGATTAGCTAATGCTGCATGCAGCATGCATTCGCGATATTATAATAATATAATGTGATGTAACTTTGGTGTATCCTGCTGTTTGATCGTTTGGTGCGTGTCCTCGATCTCTAAGGCTTGTCTAAGCGTCGCGTTGCGGACACCACAGCTGCTATGCTGCTCGCGCAGCGGTTTGGTGCACGTTGTAACGTTTTACACTCCTCTTAATGAAAAACGCGTCAACAGACGTGTTCTCAAAAAAAAAAAAAAGATCATCCGGGACGACGCTAATGTCTTCAAGAAATTAAATAGCTCCTGAGTGAAATGATGGATCAATCAACACGTGCATGTTTCGTCGTGCTGAGTTTCATTTGTTTTTGTTTTTTATATAAAAAAATGTCGTTCATGTTCTACCTTAGAATTCCATCATCAAGGCTAAAAGCTAGCACATGTGTCATTAGGCGGCATGCCACCAGCGCTTTCGCACAAGGATAAGGCAGCTGCTGCTGCGGCAGCGTCGTCGGCGAGCAGTAGTGAGGCGGAGCCAGCCGTCGACTGGGCGGAGAATGAGCGTTGCCGCAAGGGGAAGACGCCGGTCGTGAACGAAGACGGCGCATGCGCAGCGGTCGCTCGCCGGCCTCCTGCTGGCAAGCTCCTGGGTGACGCCATCCGGTCCCACGGGAGCACCGCCGTGGCCGGCTTCCAACCACCATCCAGAACGACGAAGCCCAAGAAACCACGAACGAAACCGAAGAAGCCAGCAAAGAAGGACCGAACGAAACCCAAGAAGGAGAAGGACCGCGGCGCCTGGTTCTGGTGCGGCACGGGGAGAGACGGGATGTCATCGGCCGGGTCCGACGTGGACTACTCGTTCGACAGGATCGGCGTCGTGAGCGACAGGCTGCGGACCACCCTGAGGGGCCTCTGCGTCGCCGCCCCCGTGCGCCTCTACGGCAGGTTTCTGACCAGGTGCGACAGGTACTAGTGTGAGTAACACTTGGCAAATAGTGCTACACACTCGGCAAAATCTTTACCAAGTGTCACACTCGGTAAAGTGGACTCGGCAAATAACGACTCGGTAACGTTATTTTACCGAGTGTCTAATATCGGCACACTCGAAACGTAGGTTTACCGAGTGCTGAAATGACACTCGGTAAACAATTATGACTTGACGGTCGTCGACCTCCAAACCCGACCAGTTAACGGCAACTTTTACGAGAGTGTGATCAAGCAGACTCGGTAAATAAATTAGCATTTCGTGATTAAAACAATTCATAAATAAATTTTTTGAATAATGTTTACCGAGTGTAGCTCCTAACACTCGGTAAAAAGAATAACCAATTTCGTGATTAAAACAATTCCATAAATAAACTTCGGGAAATAATTTTTACGGAGTGTTCCCACTTGGTAAAAAGTAGTCAAATATTTCCGAGTCGGGACGCGGCACTCGGTAAAAAATGGCACACTCGGCAAAATTCACAGAATTAGAACCAATTTGGTTACGTTACATTTTTTTTACCGAGTGCTACACTCGATAAAACCCAGCAGAATCTCTGCTTTTACCGAAAAGTGCTACACTCGATAAAATATGTCCACAGAATTTTTTTTTTATTTCAAAGCATATCCAAATCACAATAAGCAACAAAATCATAGAAAATTATAATAACATGACAGATAGGCAATATATATCACATATATGTCCACAAATGTCACATCCACTCACAATAACCAACATATGTCGACAAGCACCATGCAAAGTCCACAAACACCATCAACATGTGTCAAAAGTCCACAAAGTTCAACCAAGTCCACAGTTCAACATACAAACCCATCAAACAAGGTCGGATGGCACATGTCACGTGGTCGGAGGCTCATGGAGAAAGCGAGTCAAGTCCAGGTCTTGATCACCCCGCATATCGTTGTTCGATCCAAATTGTAGAAGGTCCCTAGAATGAGATTGCACATGTGAGTTATCCGGATCAAAGCAAATTCTAAGGTGTAAGCTATGGTAGGTCAAACTAAGGTATAAGTCGAAGGTATATGACACGAAAGTGAAGAGTGCATCTAAGTGACTCACAGGAGTGCCGTTGCTGGAGGTGGAGGCACCAACAGATATCATCGGCCGGCAAGAGGCGGAGGCGGTGGAGGCCGGCCCATGCTCTACGAGAAAAAGCGGGCCATGTACTCGTGCATCACCTTGTCCTTGCTTTCACTGAAGGCCTCAAGCCGGGCACACTCTCGCGCCTCTCTCTCAGCCTAACTCGGCTGGTGCGACACTCGAGGGCTGAAGGCTGCTCTGCGAGGCATCTTGTGACTCTGCAGGCTTCAATCTGGGCCTACAATTATTTATCACATAGTTAGAATGCAAATAAAGAACGAGTAGAAAATGAATGGACAACGAATACAACAGAACTAACCTGGAGTGCTACCACATGGGGCTGTGAGCGTGGGAGTATGGCCGAACTCAAACTTGTGCTCCGGGCTCTAATCTGGGCGAGTGTCTGAGTGTTGGCCGTGTCTATGGTGTCATTGCCCATATAGTACCGCCCGTGTGGCTTACACGTCCCAACCTCATGACGATGTCACCCTCGAGGTCAGCCGGTGCTCGGATCAAATTCGACCCATGGATCTCTCTCCGCCATCGCTGTGTACTCGCTTGAGGCGCCTGTGCATGCTCGGGTTGTCTTTGTATGCCTCGGCGGGTCCTCCGCGTTGTAGACGCGGTCGGGGTCCTTGCCTTGCCCTTGTGTGCCAAGGCATATGCCTTGAACGAGGCGCACTCACAGGCGGGTGGAACCGCGTCTGCAGGAAGAAGCACAACAATAAGATATTATGCATTTAGAAGTTAGCATAGCAACAACGAAATGAAATCCAGCGTACATATCTGGGGCAAATTTCTTTGAGGGTAGTGGGGCCTTGTTTGTGCGAGGAACCTCGCATCATCGCAACGGGGCAACGTGAGCGTCGGGCGTGATATTGCTCGTACTCCTCACTCAACCACTTGTCCACAATGGCCTCCCAGCGAGCTTGTCCATCCCGCACACCAAGCGGGAGGCACACCGCATACTACGAGCACATGACAAATCATAAATGAATTTCAATTGCAATTAATCGCAGACGATGTAATCTCATGTTTACCGTCAAGTATTGCTCCTTAGTCGTAAGGCGTGCACCGCCTGCGCTCTGGTGACTCTATGTCCTCTCGGGCATGGTAAATTCTTCAACACAGAGCTTTGTCTCGTAGAAGAGGTCTCGCACTTTCGGTGAACATGCACTGCTTCACCACGTCATCCGCGGCCCTCCCTACGCACTCCCTCCGCCAAGGTGTAGTAATCCTACAAGCAAATACGATCGGTAATATACAATTAATGTGATGTTATTATCAAAGATAGTGCGATGAACACGTACCACGACTCTTTCATCACCCGATCGGCCTTTGTTGTTATAACACCCTTGCCACTGATCGGTCCCGATCACTGGCGGCGTGCTGCTGGGACCACTTCATGGCGGGCTGCACAACACCATCGATCCTCACCATCTCGGGGTAGTTTGCCACCGCACGAAGACCCAGATCCCATTTACTCGGCGAGAGTGACTCCTAGGATCACCATTTCCCAATCCCCGCACAAAGTTATTGAGATTGAATATTAGTTTCTGTTATAACTTAAAAACACAGAAGTAGTGTTAACATGCAAAATTACTTACTTAGTTCCAGAGGGTCGAATCACCGGTCGTCTCTCATGGGGTAGAAATGGGGGCGCGACGACCCTCGCAGCCCAAACCGTAGGCACCCCATTTTCCTCTGCCAGCAAGTCGGCATCCTCCTCGCGCTCAGCCCGCTCGGCCTCATTCTCCCTCCGTGCCTCCTCCACCGCCTCCTCTATCTCCTCCCTGGTCTCCTCCTCCTCCTCATCCTCCTCCGTGGCCACTACGAACTCGTCGTCATCGTCCTGTGGAGGAGGTGTCGGCTCTCGATGCCCTCGTCATCGCCGTCCTCCTCCTCCAGCCTGGGCTCCTCCTCCACCCTGGGCTCCACCTCCCTGGGCACGCCCTCGTCGTCGTCGTCCTCCTCCTCCCTGGGCACGCCCTCCACCCTCAGTCTGTGCACGCCCTCCTCCTCCACCCTGGCTGGACCCCTCGCCACCAGCCAGTAAGGTCATAACCGACCTAATCTTCCTGATTCCACCGCCCACCATCAATCACCTGCAACAAAAGGAATAAACTATCAGTACGCATATACAAAAGTAAATGTATCATACATGTATAAAAGAGATGCAAAATAAGTAAATGTATCATACATGTATAAAAGAGATGCAAAATAAGTAAATGTATCATACATGTATAAAAGAGATGCAAAATAAGTAAATGTATCATACATGTATAAAATTGCCATAAGTACTACAGATCTTACATGTACTAGAAATAATCATCAAGATCATCGATAGGTGGGCCAAAAATCTCATCATCGCTATTGTCGACGTAATTATGATCGTCTCTCAAAGTCTCATCACTAGCGACCTTTGCTGCTCAATGGTGTTGCTCAAGTAATAACAAGTCCTTCGCGTTGTGAACCTCCTCTCCATCATACCCGTCAACAATGATCGTATCATTGTCTACTTCCATTGCGAGATCTACATCTAAGACAATCTCAAAACTCCCTTCTAATCCTTCTTCTTGAAAGAACTCTCCGTCATATGTGTTTGCATCGATGTTATAATCATCATCGTTTGGGACGAGTACTTTACCATGCGGCAATACCTTGTACACAACATCATACGCCTTAAGACGGTCTTTGGTTTGGCTCAGGGGTCTTTATCACTTCTTTGGATCAAACCAATGACATTTGAATATGACAGGATGAAGAGGTACACAACCAGGAAACTTGAGTTTGTATATTTCTTCAATTATTCCATAGTAGTCCAACCCATCTCGTGCTGGCGTGAAAACACCGGTATTTGTGGTTCTTCGATTCGGCCGACTCTGCTCAGGTCTTTGAGTTGTGTGAAAACGATATCCATTGACA